GTGCAATACTACTCTGAGTTAAAGTTTTCATTATCCTGCTTAAGGGTCTAAAGACAGAGGGAGGTGTATTCTGTATATATTGTAAATAATTGTAATATGAATACAATTAATTTGATTGGACCAGACATGATGGATTTTTGAAATCATGTTTTGTGGAATTCAAAATACCAGAGACCCCCAATATAGTGGAGGCGAGGAGAGACTTTCCTCTATAAATGACCCCAGGCAGGTCGTCAGCAGCATAATGTTCCTCAGTTACTCTTTCTTTTTAGGCAGCCTGGAGTATTAGGCAGCCTCTTCTAACGTGTGTTAGGGATGTTGGGATGGACGGATACTTAGTCATGCACACACTCACAGACACACTGAAACACATTATGCAACCATTAGGGGCAATTTGACATTCATTCGACATTAAGCCTGGAGGAGCCGCGGTCAAACTACCGACCTGTCGATTAATGGACGACCCAGGCCGCCTCCTGAGCCACGACCGCCCTGATGGCTGGGTTGACAAAACACGGGCCGTCCACACAGGAGGCTGGTTCCAGGTGTAAATGATGTGACGAGTTGAATTCGAAAAAGGTAGCTTGATTAAATATGGTGTGAAAAAATTAAACACATATTACAGAAGCAAAATGCACAAGTTGAAAAATTTTATATTTATTAGCCTCTGCAACAGATTGCATGGATGGTTGGTGCATGTGCACTTCAACAAGTCCAACAGACACGAGAGTTATTTAAGACTCGCTCACAATTAGTGCGTTGCCGGTAATGTGCTTCATTCTGCCTGTATTTATGAAAGGTTTGGATTTTATTTGTAAAGTATACACATCTAGTAACACCAGAGATGAACGTTCACTCAGCTCTTCCCCGTGACACTGCAAACATTCAGTTATTCGCTCAGTCTCGTGTCCTCGTCATCGTCGTCTCAGACTCTTGTCTTTGTGGTCAGTGTCTCGTCAGATTAAAGCTCCAGCTCTGTCTGTCCTGTCTCAGACCGACTCAGCAGGATGTATTGACATTAGATACACAGGTGTGTTGTGACAACAGCACGATCGGGGGGTGGGGGGTG